ACATTTCCAATACATTTCAGTCAAGTTTCACAGGCTGTAATTCCTTTACTGTTTATCTTTTCTTGGTGAAACAAGGCTAAAGGCAATAGTATACCAAGAAAAGAGTCCATTTTTGACAGCCAAGGAATTGTCTGCTACCAAAAAAATTCTCAAAGAAGAAAATGACTTAAAAAAAGAATCAATTCTTAAAATTAACTTTCACGTCATTAGGGAAAAATATTAACAACTTAAACACTAGGCCTAAGTTCACATAGCTCATAATCATAAATACTTTTTTCCAAACTTGAAACTCATTTGCTTTCTAAATACGCATAGAAACCATTAAATTCTTTTCTATCTTTCAGATTGCAAAATGGAAATTTGGCTCCATATTTGAAAGAAGAGATGATGAGATATAGACATAAAGAGATGATGCTAAGTGTGGACCAGAGAAAACAGCTGAATCAAACCAAGTAAAAATGCTAGTAATTGAAAACAAAACTCCATTTGCAGAAACAGATTAACCAGGCTTATGAGCCAATAAGAATTTTCATAATTAAGCTCATGTGCACCTTTAGGGTGACCTCAAATCACCAGTCAAAATTGCCTTTACTGCTAAAGAGAACTGATCATAACCTAAACATAAGCACAACTAGCGCAATGAGAAAGTGGCAAAAGCAGTTTGAACACATTCCTCCATCTCTGGGCTTATCATTCCTGAGAAATTATATTTAGGTCTGAGATACAAAGACAAAAGGCACAGCAACCAGTACACAAATAATTATGAACTGTTCCATTTTAACAACTACAGTATCACTGAGCTTTATTTTACAGAGACCCTAGCAGTTTATTTAGAATGTAATCCATGATGCAAAAGAATCTTCACACAGATTTGCCTTAATTAATAACCCCTACTTACTTTTTAATATAATATGATTTATCAAACTTCAATCAATTTACTTAAAACCTCACTAACCCTGCTATAGCATTAGGGCATATATGCCTGCCTGCTTCTAACAATGAGATAAATTTGCTATTTAAAAAAAAAATCCCCCAAAGGTCACCTTGAACTACCAAAAAAAAAAAAAAGTCCAACAAATTGATGTTCATTATCTACATCTAAACTATGAGTAAGTAAATCAGTCATGTTACCAAGCATAAAGCTATTGAAATTGTTATGATTTATTTTTAGGTGCCACTGAGACTTAACAAAGATTGTGAGGAATAAAACCAATAAAAGGAAACTCAGGGAACAAATTAATGCCTTAAGTCATTATCTTAAAAGCAGCCTTCCCTATAGAACAAAGTGATGAAACTATCAAAAAGCACTCCTCAAAGCAACAACATTTTTGCATGTCAAAAAAAAGAATTAACCTAGAATAAATATATAAATAACAGTATGTTCTGTGTTAAGTCAGTAACAAAGAAACCCCTTAGTGCAGTAAAACAAAGTCCTGTCAAATCCTCATTTTTTACAAAGAAGCATGAAGATCTTTTCACAATGGTTTAAACTGTATTTATAGTAACAGAGTAAAGACTTGAGATAAAAGTCAAAAGGATTAAAGTCAAAGCCCCAGCTCGACATGAGTTATGGTTTTGATTTTTATTCTTATTGTGGTCTACAAATATTAAGACAGAAGATACTTCCATTTGATTATGGGTTCCTCTGAGACTCTACAACCTTAGAAGAGCAGATAAAGCAAAGGAAAATGCATCTGGTTTGGGAGCAGACTCCATATTAAATGGCATTGCGCAAAGTAACAACTACAACTGCAGAAGGCCGAGGGGGAGGGGTGGAATCTAAAGGCTGAAATTCTGCAACTGATGCAGGGCACAGAGAAAAAAAAAAAAAAGGGTGGGGGGAGAATGTGGCATTACTGTTTTAACATGGCAGCCTGTTAATAATCTCTGCCTTCCTGGAAATACAGGCAAATTATACCACTATTCTTTCTTTTGTACATACAAGCATTACATACTCTATGAGGAAAATGGTAGAGTTTCATAGCTGCACCCATATCTAAAACAAAATCCCTGGAGTTGCCCCTCAGAGTTCACAGATTTGGAGACTGTATACTTTTCTCACAAAGAAAGCAGAAATTCTGCTGTCAATCGCAAATCCTTACTGTAGAAAAAAATAGTTTTCTTCCATATGTTTTTCTTAAAATGCAGGCAAAACTACAGTTAAACATAAGCTTTTGGTCAAAATATCTCTTTTGCATTTCTTTCCCCCTGTGTCCTCTTTTTTTTTTTGAAGAAAACCACACATATACTCTGTATGAATTGGAAGATTCATGGCAATTTGAGTACTGGCTCTGTAAATGACATCTTACAAGAAACATACTGAGTTGAATATTTTCCATTCATCCTTAATTTTTACTTTTAAAATCAGATACCTGAGTTTTTATTTGTTGGAGATAAGGCAAAAAGTCCTAAATGACAGTAAAATCATCAGAAGTATTATAAAATACAGAATGACAATACAGCACAGAGATGCTAAAAAATTTTTTCACTGAATGTAAATTAATACTATCAATTATAAGTAAAATATTTTATCACACAAGTTTGGAAGAAAGTTCAAGGCCATATACTTTCACGTAATGAAAAAGAGAACATAAAATGTGTTACTACTACCCAAATGGATTAATTTCTCCTTACTCACAAAATAAGAAATACCGTAATTCACTTTCACAAATCACAAATTTCTGGAAATGATATTTCCAGTACAATTACTTGCTACTTTATTCAATAGTTTATTTCAACTGTCACATTTTGAACATACACACATTTGTACAACTACCAGGGGAAAAATAACTTGAACCAAATTGAAAAATTACCATAACTACTAGTTCAACATGTCTGGTTAAAATAGAGACATCTGGTCTATCATTAATTCTTTTGTGTTGATGACTCCTAGTGTGTCTTTTCCCATTAATGAACTTTGCAAGAAAAAAATTCAATTTTCCACAAAAAAAGCCTGAGACTTAGAAATCTATTGTAAGATATATCAATACAAATACATCATGAGTCAATCAAATAATGCTCAGTAGTTCTGAGAATAGTAACATATCCTGATTGAGTGCAAATAGGTAGCATTAAATTCCATCAGAGTGTTATCTATTAAATAATTCTCCACAGGCAGATATAGCTAATTCATGAATCATTATTTTAAAATATTTATAAATCAACTCATTGTTCACTTGTTTAAAATACCTACACTAAACCCTGATAATAGTACTTGATTGCCACTCCAAGGAACGTGAATAATGCATTTTCAGAAGCTGCACACCCCCACACAATTCTGAATTAATGGCCCAACAAACCGTAAGTAATGTACTACGTTCTGGCAAAAAAAAAAAAAAAAAAAAAAAAAACCTCAGTGGTAACATCAATCTGGCATCTACTTAACACTTACTGCGTACTTGCTTACTTCTCACATGGTCCCCACAACTAAGTTTCTTCTCCCAGACTCAGTTCATTAGAGAATGACTATTACCTGGCCATTCACCCACGGAGACTGATTTAGCGATTAATACAATCACAGATAAGGGGCAAAATGATAACACACCACTACCAAATGAAGAGATGAAGAAGTAAAAGGCCCCGGCCACTCCTGCCACCAATAACTAGACCGCAATTAAAAAAGACTTTTGTCACTTCTTTGCAGGGCAATAGGGCCAATTATCTAAAACGCTTTGCTAGAATCCAAAGCCATGCCAGCAAGGCCCTTCAAAGAAACTTAGATAATTACTTTTGACAAATGTTCTCCTAGAGCATAATGTAGTTACTCAAAAGCTTTTAAAAATGACTACAGTTACAGTAAAACAATCTTTACAAAGTCAATCCAATAACATGCCTTTAGTCCCTGTCCCCGCCACCACCACCACCCCTCCCCTGCATGCAGCCTGCATTCTTTTGGCCAATTTATAACAGATAGTAAGTTGGTGGATAAATATTTAATTTATGCAGCCCAAACCTTGAAAGCCTCCGCTTCAAATGTAATGCTGTGCATTCCCGTGAGACACATTGTACAAAATATCCTTTTTAAAAGCCCGTTTACAGCTGTCCTTTAAAAGAAGACGAGGGGGAAAAGAAAAGAAAATAGAAGAAAAACCCACATATATACATGCATCAAACCGAAGACGCCGACGCCCCTCTGCCAGCCAGCATTTCTATAGAGACATTCTTTCCATGATTAAAACGTTAGCTCAGAAAGGTTAAGAAAAGCAGCCAAGTAACACCGCCCAGAAAGCCAGCAGTAAAAACACACCTAGCTTTACACTCTTAACCTCCCAGGACAAATGACACTGACCCAACTTCACCAAACACACACGCGGTACACACATTCACACACGAATTGAACACACGTGCACAGAATGTACACACAAACATCGATTAGAGCACAATACCTACAAACACAGCGAACTGGATCCACGCAAAACATGCACGTATCGGTGTGCATACATAATGCACACGACGCGGCACACAGACACGCAACGATCTCGCCCCACATGCACACGCCCCACAACTCCGTGTCGGACACACACCACACATGCACGTGTGAAATGTTTGAACTCACAAACGCCGAACACACACCCAGACCGTGCACAGAGTTATTGATGAAATTCCGGGGGGTGGAGGGGCCAGGAGGGAGTGGTAATTGCCACACAAAGGTCTCCGGAGCGGCAGAGAGAGAAGTGGAGCGGCGCCGAGCGCGCGGAGATTCGCGGGTGGAGAAGGCTCCGCGGGCCCAGCGCGAAGTCCCGGGAGAAGTGTCCCGGGCGGTGCGGGGCGCGCCGGGCTCCCCGAGACGATCGCGGCGCCCTCCGCGCGCGCACGCACACACAGGGGCCCCGGGCGAGCCCACTCCCGCGGAATAACAAAGAGCAGGAGCCCGGCGAGCGGGCGGGCGGCGGCTTGGGGGGAAGCGGCCGTCTCCGGCGCGGCAGCCAAGGAGCAGCGGGGCCGGTGGGACGCGCGGGCGGGCGGCAGGCGGCGGGCGGCGGGCGGGGAACGGCACGTACCAGGCGGGCAGCCTCGGCCCAGGTGCGGTCCTTCTTCTTCCTCTTGTCTTTCATGTTTGCATCTCATTGATGGTGCTGATGATGACGTGGGGGATTCCACGGGGCGCTCGGGGTGCGGGCGCGGAGACAATGACCCAGTGACCCGGTGACCCGCACTCGCTCCGCGGGGGGAGGCGCGCGGGCGGCGGGAGGGAGGAGGGAGCGCGAGGGG